AAGTCTGAAGAAGGAATTTAGACGATTGTGTTTGCTTTGGTCCTGACATTTTTTATTTTATTTTATTTCATTTTATTTTATTTTATTTTATTTTATTTTATTTTATTTTATTTTATTTTATTTTATTTTATTTTATTTTAATCTATTTAATTTATTTTTCTTTACTTTTATTCACCATGACGTGCATACACACACTCACACATAAAAAAAAAAAAAAAGAGATACAAAAAAGAGGGGAACTGAGGTACGATACAGTTTTGCAAGCAGATTTAGACAAAAACAAACAAACAAACAAATCAAAAGGAAAAAGGTCAGTAAACAAAATGAATGAATTAGAAAGAGGGACAAAATTAGTCAATGAGCAAACAGGACAAAAAGAAAAACATGGTGGACAGTATAGTAACACAATTATGTAAAATAAAACTGGTGGGAGAGGTTGTACACATGGTGACGATTTTTGGTGTTATTTGTTTTTGTTTTTCACTTTGTATGGGTGCTAACTAACATGGTGATTGCCAAATACAGACTGTTTGTAAATTATTTTTTGCATTTTAACAATTGGAAGCTAAGTTTCCAAAGATGTAAATTTGTTTCTGACTAAAATGTGTATAACGTGAATTTCATCCCCTGTATACTGCATTCAGATGTTTCACTTTAAGAAGTCCATGATGGCTTAAACTGAAGCAGGAGTTGTTAATACTGAATGTGTTTTTCAGAATCCACAACTCTACAAAAAAACATTCAACATGAATCAATTCTCACTAAAATACAATCAACTTGTTTTTTTTTCGTCAGTGAGAGTAAGTGGTCAGTGTCTGGTATATATCGGTCTACTCTACATCATGCGTCGATATGATAATTTGGGAGTCCATTATGGCCGCCTGCAGAGGATGTGAGGTTAAGTGGTGCTGCAGACACACACACAGAGGAAGGAGGGGAGGCCCACGCGCTGACAGCTTGTACTGGTGATTAGACCAAGGAGTGATGCAAGGAAGGCATCAAAGCTCTTTAGGGAGAATCCCCAAACGGGGCGGAGGCAAGGACACACACACACACACACACACACACACACACAGAATCCTAATAAACTCCTTGGTTGCTAACATTGCCTTTAAACTGAGCACACAGGTCTAACTGTGTGCGGGCAGAACGGACCATCTGTCATTCTCTGATACATCACCAACCAGTGGATTACCATCAGCTCTGCCCCCTGGACAGACAAGCGCACACTCACACACACTCAAACAACCTCCTCTGATTATGGGATACTGGTAATGAAGCAGAATGAGAGTTATTATTAGATTAGATTGGGTGTGGATGTCAGTGGATCTCCTCATTCATCTCATATGTTATGGCTGTTTAATGAATATTGCTGCAGTTGTTGCTGTATCAGCGGTGAGTGATTCACACAGAAATTGGTGAAGCAGAGATAGGAAAGACTTTTCTGTAAAGATCTGAAGCCAGGCACACACACACACACACACACACACACACACACACACACACACACACACACACTCTGAGGGAGACTCTGGATTACAGTAATCCAGGGACAGGAGGTATTTTGAGGACGTCATGATCAGACAGACAGGATACAATCGACTGACCAAATTAACCAAATTAAGTACGTATAGTCTCTCACAAAAAAACAAACAGCTCATTAAGCTGTTGGAAATGTCAGAGAGTTGTTTCATTCAAATGACATACAGACTTAAAAAAAACATCATGGAAAGAAATCAGACTTTGCATACACTCTGTGAATCCCCTCTCAGGTTGATGATTGAATTAAAACAGAACACACTGTACGCTGTGAGTCACTGACATAGAAGAGTGTGTAGTCGAGGTTTTCAGAGACAGAGAACACACGGACACGCTGGAAAACCCTAAAGTTGAATATGTTCTTTTTTTTTTAAGAGAAAACAGATTAACTGATTAATTGTGTAACACTCTGAGATTATGATCACTGTCATTAGCAATTACAATGAGACAAAAAGAGTACACACACACACACACACACACACACACACACACACACACACACATGCACACCAACTTCAGTTCTAGTCTAACACTACCCACAGACATCATTATCATGCAAACTTTTTGAAACTGAATGTTGGAAAAACAAAGAAACTTGTAGATTTTAGAAGGAAAAAGGACGAGGCCTCCCCAGTGATCATTAAGGGTCAGCAGATCGAGACTGTCCAGTTTTATTAATACCTTGGTGTCTTCCTGGACAGTAAACTGAACTGGAAGAAGAACACTGATGCTGTTTTCAAGAAGGCACAGTCAAGACTTTTCTTCTTAAGGAAGCTGAGATCCTTTGAAATTAGCAAAAGTCTTCTTTATGTTTTTTATCAGGGAGGCTAGGGTCCTCTTTTATGCTGTGCTGTGTTGGGCTGGCAGCACCTGTGTGGATGATAAAAACAGGATCCAAAAGTATTACCCCAGACTCACTTGAGATCATCGTTCATAAGAGAATGAGGACCAAACTGAAAACTGTTTTGATCTTTGAAGGCGATCCTCTACTTCTACTAGGAATCTGAAGCGCCTTCAGTGAGCGATTAGTAATGCCTTAATGTTCCACTGAACGTCTCAGGAGCTCCTTTTGTTCCTGCAGCAGTTTGATATTTTAATGAACATTTTAAGTTGTGTTTCTGACTCATGGCTGTACATGATTATTCAAATGCTTTCAGTGGTGTTTGTTATTTATTTACTTGTTGTGTACTGTGATGTACTGTAGATATTGTTTGTTGTGTGTATGAACTGACCAGGTGACAAATGAGTTCCCCCGCTGGGGATCAATAAAGTTTTTTAATCTAATCTAATCTGTGTTTTTTTTATTTTTTATTATTATTATTGATGAGGCTTCATCTCCAGAGAAAACCTGTGAATAAATCTGGTTATCTGTTGAGTTTCTGTCAGTCTGAGTAAACAAAGACAGAGAGAACGCTGTGTAGATTTTATAAATCATATTCAAAACTTAGTCGACATTTAGCTTTAAGAGGAATAAAACATGTGATTTATTTTGTAAAACATACCCTATATTTTAAAATAACTTATTTTTAACAACACACTATTCATTGAAAACATTTGTATGTAAACATGTGGATCATTTTCATGCTACATGTTTTTGTATTAACGAGCATGTGGAGATTATATTTAATATATTTCAGCACATACGAGTCGACCTTTTCTTTACTGTTTTAGAATAAAGTGAAATAAAACAATTGATGGCTGACTGTTTGTATTCATTAAAAACTGTTTAAAGGAGACTTTGATATATCTTGTAAACGTTTTATGTAGATATCGATGGTAGAACAAAAACAATTACAATTCTGTGCTAATCTCTGTGATCTTTTGATGCTATTAAATTAAATAGACTTCCTAAAACAAAGTTCTAGCACACGCTTGTTATTGCTTTGTTCATTATAATATTTGAGGTGACCAAGAAAAGTTACAATTTGTTTTATAGATCTTTTTTATACAAAAATTGTTAATTGAGAAACTTGAAAAAAGTTTGATGCCTCTTTAAGTATGAGAGTCATTTGACATTCTCAACCTGTGATAAATATTTTCAGAACAGGAAATACAGAGAGGCCTAAATGCATACAATTTAAAAAATAGTCTCACTGGATTTTACCAAAAGAAAGCAGTGTTCAGGCGCCCCCTAGTGGGGAAACAGTCACTCATCGTGTGTCTCTTTTCCTATCGTTGAGTAAACTATGGACCCATGACAACAGAATGCATAAAACCATCATAAAAATACTGAAAAAACGGACAAACAATGGATTTAGGTAACATTTTAGTAAATTATTTTCAGTTAATTTTAAATCCAAGATGGGTCGTCTGTCATTTTAACATTTACTTTCAATATTATTCCAAATTTAAAACAAATCTCAAGTTTTCTTCAAAGTAATCGATGCAATGCTGATGTGAACTAATGTAAACTGAAAAATCTAACAAATGTTTTCCAGGAGAACAGGACTGCTTCAAGTCAGAGAGTGATAAGTCAATATAGATATATAGAATATAGATGCTACACAGGGCTGTATGGCTGCAAAGAGAAAGTGAGCATTGGGTTTATTTCTGACACCAGTGGATGTTTAAATGCTGCTCTTGTGTTCTTTTGAGATTTCACATTAAGCCTTCAAACAGAGATGAGACGATGGAGCAAACTTCTGCTTTTTTAATTACAATATTTAAGAAGAAGAAGATCAATTAATAGCTTTAAGTTAAACAAACATAAAAACATTTTGTCAAAATGGATCAGACATAAAACAAGAAAAGGTTGTTCCAATGATTCATAGGCAGCTGATGGATGTTAAGATCTTCATTAAAGGTTAAGATAATGTTAATAATGGTAGAGTTTCATTCAGATTATTATGACATTAAACTATATATAAAAAATGTGATTACATAATTAGAGTTAAATAAATGTTATCAATAACATATTGTGCTACTACGCTTCACTGTGATTACATGCTTTGAACATTTAACTTTAATAACCAGAAATAGTGTGTATGGAAACCCATTTCCACCAGTTAAAAAAATAAAAATTTAAAATTTGTCGAGATTTTTTTTTTGACCAAAAAACCATTATCTCGAAATTATTAGATAAAGTCATAATAATGACTCATAATTTCGATTTTTAATCTCATTATTTCGACTTTTAATCTCATGATTATGACTTTATTATCTCATCATTTCGATGAAATGGGCTTCCATAAGTGTGACATAAAAAAGACACAAAAAACTAACAGGAAAAGAATCAGTGAATCAGTCCATGTTCACTCAGTCTCTCGGTTATAATGAGTCTTTGACATATTTGGACTGTAGAGGGCGCCAGAGCTCCATTTGCAGATCCGTGAAAGGGTTAATCACCCACAGCAACTTTTCTGAAGAGCTTCTTGTCTCTCAGCTTTTTGTTTGCGAGGTTAGTACCTGTAAGAAATATTGTTATTATTAAAAATGTGTGTCTGATGTTTGCCCTTTAGGAATCAGACATCTTGTCCCCACCTGTAGTAGTTTGGTTTGAAGGGTCCATGTTTGCTGATGCCCAGATACTTGGCTTGTTCTTCAGTCAGCTCAGTGAGGTGGGCTTCAAAGGTCGGCAGGTGCAGGCTGGCCACAAACTCATCTGAAATGATAAGTAATGGTCAATATAAAAATGCAATTGAAATATAAGACATGTTGTTATTGTTATAGGATATTTAAGTTTAGTGCTTGCCCATCTTCTTTGGCAGCAGGTACACGTCCTGCTTGTATCGTCCCTCTGGAGCGCTGTAGAGCTCTATGAGAGCCAGAGCCTGACACACACACACACACACACACACACACACACACACACACACACACACACACACACACACACACACACACACACACACACACACAGCAGGGAAAGTCTCTGTTAGCACAGCTGTAGAGGACTACAAACAGCCGCAGTGTGACAAAGCTACAGACAAAATATATTTAATGCATTCATAAAAGAACAAAGGAGGAGTAAATAGGTTAAAACCTGTGAGCGTACCTGAGTCGTAGCAGTGATGGAGAGGACGAGTGACGGCACCGTGGAGCAGCTCAGATTAAGCAAACGACCCTGAGACAAGAAAGTAATCCCAGAGACCCATGACATGTTGTGATGTGACAGCAGTCACTGATCATAACTAATGATGCATTGTTAGTTTTTGTGTAGCATCAGATTTAAAATGTAGTTCCCTGTTTGGACATTGGAGGGCGAAAATGTCCAATTTACAAAAAACTGCTCTAAAAAAAGAACAGATTGATATTTTTTTCATCTTTTTTTTGCATAAATCTCTTAAACAACTCCAGCCCTGCTCAAAACGACCAAATATTGAATCATTATCAGGAATTTAACCCTTTAAATACTAGAATCATGTAATCAAACTGGCATTTTAAGGGGTTAAATTCCTGATAATTATTCAACATTAGATAATAAGATACTCTCTCTTTATCCATGAAACTGTCTCTACTCAAGGACAGTTGTGTTGTTAACAGACATGCTGTAGTGTTTGTCAGTCAGCACCTGGAACAATTCAAATCTAGCAGCCACACTTCAAATCAGTACATCATCCCATCATCCTCCAAATGTGTGAATCTGTGAATGCTGAACTGTTCTTTATGCGTTACATTAACGCCCACTGCACTTCAAAAATGTATCTTCCTAACATGCACTCTGTGAGTAGTTACACACATTAAGATTTTTTTTTTCTCATAGTCCACTGCTTTATTTCCTTGTTAATTGTTCAGCACCAATACACCAAGTCAAACTCCTTGTATGTGTAAATGTACTTGGCAATAAACCCCGATTCTGATTCTGATTCTGATTCTGAAATACAGCAGTATAACCACCTCAGCTAGCAGGACAATCCTCTTGCCATCAGGCCAGATCACATGGTCCACCTGAGGCCTCACACGCTGCCACCTCAGCTCCGCAGTCCGCAGACTTTCCTGAGAGGCGAGAGTTGATGTTTATATAAAAGCATATACTGAAGTTGATTAACACATGCACACACATGCACACACACACACACACAAACAAACCATGTTCATACCAAATCTATCTCTACGCTGGAGTGTCCCATGTTGCACACAATGCAGCCATTTTTCATCTTGTCCAGATGTTCCCGAATCACCACGTTTTTGTTGCCTGCAGAAAACAAATTGTAAAAATACAGCGGATGGATGATCTGAATAATATTTAAGAACTTCACAGAGAGCAGCAGTTACCTGTGCAGGTGATGACCATGTCTGCCTGCCGTAACACTTCACTCAGTTTAACCACTCTGAAGCCATCCATGCTGAGAGGAAGGACAGTTAAACTTCATAATGCTTCATGCTATTTCACTCAAATGTGCTGCTAAAAAGACGTAAACACACTCTGCATCTGTGCGGTTAAAAGCTTCTTCCATTCATACCAGGCCTGAAGGGCACAAATGGGATCCACTTCTGTGACATGTACGACTGTACCCAGTGCTTTCAGGGCAGCGCAGCAACCTTTGCCAACCTACAGGACGAGAGAAAAGAGGCTGGTAGAGCAGAGCTGTTTGAAAGCAGTCATTCTTCTAATGTTTTTTTTTTTTTTTACTGACCTCCCCATATCCGCACACCACCACCTGTTTTCCTCCAAACATGACGTCAGTTGTTCGCTTCAGCCTGAGAAAAAAAAAAAAGAGTTCATCATCCTCATCACTGCAGCTCCTTCCTGTACTCTTATTTTATGGAGCTGTGTGTGTTCACATTACGGTTCACTACCCGTCCAGAATGGACTCCTTGCAGCAGTAAAGGTTGTCAAACTTCTGCTTGGTCACCGAGTCGTTCACGTTCATGGCCGGGACGCACAGTCTACCTGCCTTTGACAGCTGGTACAACCTGAAACACAGAGAGACACACGGGCCAGAGCTTTTTTAAAGTCTTTCTATGTGATTTTTCACACTTAAATATAATATAAATCAAGTTTATCCTCTGAAAATAACTCTGTGAGTCATGACTGTCTACAATGGGTGTAACACCCGAGTCCCACTGTCTGTGATGTTTTCAGAGTTTTCAGAGTCCTATCTTCACTTTGTTTACATCACCAGGACGGCCGGTTGACTCCTCCCCTCGTGTATAAAAGTTGTTTAATTGAGGGACTAGAGAAAAGAAGAATAACATACTGTACTCACTGCTTAACTGTGTTTCTAGATCACGCTCATTTCAGGTAAATTTACATGCAGTGTGAAGATACCAGCATAATAAAGATCGCTAGCATTAGCATGCTAACACAACAATGCAGCGCGAGTTGTTTTGGTTTCATGCTGGTGCTCAAGGGCGACATCTGCTGGATCAAAACATCACATATAAAGCCTTTATGAAAATACAAACACAAAATAAAAAGGAAAAAAACAAACTGGTTCCTCAGGATCCATAGCAACAAATAAATAACTCAAATAATATAGTTCATGTTCAAAAGGGATAGGAAGAAGTCTGGTCCTACCCCTTCTTATTTTTGTGCATTATTTAAAAAAAAAAACTAAAAATGTTTTCATCAATCAGTGTATGATGTTGGACTTGTTGGCCAAAACAAATTAAGTTTTTAGACAAAACAACAAAATAATGGGAACAGATTAACCAAGACCATCAGCCAAGAAATAACCAAATAGAAAACAGAAAAACAGAAAGTCACCAGCTCATATCGATTCAATATTTTATTCCTGAAGAGTTTTCTTAGTTTAAGTATATTTTTTATTGCATTTTTTCAGCTCGTCATCACAGTTGTTCCACAGACTAACACCCTGAGTTGTGACACAGTGAAGTTAGTTCTGATTGGTGTTTTTTTTTAATATACAGGTGTCTGTTGAATAAGTAGATAGAATATAATTTAAAATCTAGAATAAAAACGAACCGAAAAATGCCTGTAACACTCTCCTCCACGATGCCTCTGATCTTCCTGAACAGACTTGGGTACTTCTTATAGATCCAGTGGGTCAGGTCGCCTCCATCATCCAGAATCTATAAAAAAGGGGGAAAACTTCCTTTTTTTTTTTTTTTTTGCTGAACACAATGAATGAGAAAAGTAATTAAAGTACGATTCACCCAAAGTCAAAAGTTAGTTCAGAGTACCATGTTGGGTTGCCATGTCTCTGCAGCCACACATTGGTCGATACACCACCAGAAGTCATCCTCTGATTCTCCTCTCCATGCAAACACTGAGGTGCCTGCAATAACGAGCAGGTGACATCATTCTACAACAAGTTATGAAGCAAAAAAAAGAAGAAGAGTGGAGACAGTTTCACCTCGTTCAGCCAGAGCAGCAGCCACGGCGTTCTGAGTGGAGAAGATGTTACAAGCGGCCCAGCGACACTGAGCTCCCAACACAGACAGGGTCTCAATCAACACCTGCAAGACACACACGTCAATCCATTTAAATACAAAAAGACTGTTTTCAATGTACAAATGCAATCTTTATAATGTGAAGTATAATCAGTTCAGCTCAGGGGTTTGTGTGTGTGTTTGTGTGTTGAACTGACCGCCGTCTGTGCAGTGATGTGTGTGCAGCCCACCACTTTAGCTCCAGCCAGAGGTTTCTCCCCACCTGCTCGTTTTCTTAGGACCATCAGAGCCGGCATTTCTAAGTATCACAGACAATGACCGAGTCACATTTAATTCAAGAACAGACAACTACATGGACATCAAGCAATCAATCTTTATTTGTATAATTCATAACAAATGTTAATCTTAAGACACTTTAACAAAAGAGCAGGTCTGGACTACTCTATGTTATATACATTTTCAAAGATCTAACATTAATACACACTAAGCAACATTTAGCAAAGTTACAGCGGCAAAGAAAAAAAAGTGCCTTTAAGAGGCAGAAACCTCGAGAAGAGTCATGTTGATAAATCATCAGCTGCAAATGTGTTGGACCAGCAGGGAGAGGACAGCAAGAACAACAAACAACATAACAGACATGTGGATACAATGTCAGTAATAATATGTAACAAAGTATGATAATCGACTGATCAGTCCAATGTTAACGTTAAAGGCTTTATATGTGATGTTTTGATCCAGCAGATGTCGCCCTTGAGCACCAGCATGAAACCAAAACAACTCGCGCTGCATTGTTGTGTTAGCATGCTAATGCTAGCGATCTTTATTATGCTGGTATCTTCACACTGCATGTAAATTTACCTGAAATGAGCGTGATCTAGAAACACAGTTAAGCAGTGAGTACAGTATGTTATTCTTCTTTTCTCTAGTCCCTCAATTAAACAACTTTTATACACGAGGGGAGGAGTCAGCCGGCCGTCCGGGCGATGTAAACTAACTGAAGATAGGACTCTGAAAACATCACAGACAGTGGGACTCGGGTGTTACACCCATTGTAGACAGTCATGACTCACAGAGTTATTTTCAGAGGATATACTTGATTTATATCATATTTAAGTGTGAAAAATCACATAGAAAGACTTTGAGAGCAGGATTAAATGTATGTCCGAGCTGAGAATTAAAACATTACAATTTGCTACAGCGTGAGGGATCTATGCTACAGCGATGCTTTTGTGTCCACAGTAGCAGTTTTTCCCACCAAGGAGATGTCATACTTTTATAGATCCCATTATCACCTTGTCAGTAGGCCTATCAATCTGTATAGCTGGTATAAAATAAGTGTAGTGTAGAAAAGGTTATTCAATTACCTACATAGTGCGTACATTTACACTACAACTGAAAACAAAGTTTATTAATTGAAATCAAAGCACTGTGAGTTTTTAAGATGTAGAAAGGAATATTTATTAATTCAACGTGATTCTGTATCCAAAGCATGATTGCAGTTCCACCGAGCTGAGAAAAGAACCACCAGAGGATGAGTTGAATTCAGAGGAATTTAAAAATGATCACATAAATTAACAAGAGGAATATCTACACCCCCACATCCAGCAGGCGGTTTAGATATTTAACCTGAATGCACTTTTCAAATGACATCGTATATATCAGATGTGTTTGTCTGGAAAAGTCTTAATAACACTGTAATTAATGAGAAAAATCTCATATAAAGACTTTAACAATAACAATAAAACTGGACTGATAATGTTATTTATAGCAGTGGGAGCTGTCATCCATCTCTTTTTTGTCTTTTGTTATTGAAGGTGTAAACAGTGGGCTAAAGTCTGTACCTTGCTGTGCGATCTCTATCTCTCTGCGTCCAAAGGCAGCCTGTTTGATGTTTTTGATGCAGAAGTCAGAAAGGCTGCTCGAGCTGCTCTGACTCTTCTCTCTGGGAGTAGCCTCCTCCTCGGAGCTGTCACTGCATGCTGCAACACAGAAAATTATGTTTGTGTTCAAAGATCAGGTGATAAAGTGTTATATACGCTAAAGCAAAAACAGATCACACTGAGTCTGTCTCTGTTCTCCAAAAGTCCCCATTCCAGACTTCCAAACACCTCATATGGTTACTTCATGCTGCACATCTCCACATCTCCTGTTCCCTGTTATAACCAGCCCATCACTGTCTCTAAACCTTTCCCCACTTCACTTATCAGTCTCAATCCATAGACATGTACATCGGACTTTTTCCATTGGTAAGTCACTGTTTTGTCAAAATGAAAGGACAAGCAATAATAGATGAAAAGAAATAATGTGAAAATGTTTATTTAATTTGATATTTTACTGGTTCAAAATTAAATATTTTGTGTTTACAAAATGAATACTCGTATTTAAAGGTGTTCTCTGCACAGTCAGCCTCATTCTGTTTAGTTAAGTGTGCTCAATAGAGGGCAGCACCTGAAGTTTTGTGCAAGGAGTGTGAGGCTAATAAGCTGACTCAAGCCAGGTGTGTAAGCAGGCTGAGGTGGCAGAAGCTGTCTCGTGTGTGTGTGTGAGCAACAGTGGAGGTGAGAGGAAACTTCACAGGCTCAAGTCATTGTAGAGAAGACCATAGAGAAGCCATTGGTAAGAATTGATTCACGTTTCATTGTAGTCGTTGAGCATGATAATCCTTTGTTAGATGATACATGTGGTAAAATAAGTTACACATTGAGTGGTGCACAGTCTTAATTGTTCTGTTAAGATTTAATTGACCGTGCAGCGTGCTTTGTATTTGTTTGTGAGATAAATTAAAACAGTGTGATAGTGAAATGCAGTGGTTTAAAGAGCTGTTTGCATAGTTCATGCTCTTTTGTTATTTACTCTGTTTAAGGTTTACTCCTGCTCCTACTCGTTCTTATCGTAAAGGATTGTTTTGAGAACTGTATAAATAAATACAATGGAACGAAAAATCCATGGACTGGAAGTTGAGTTGTCCAGCGTTACCTTCTAGGCCTTTTTCAAGTTCGGGCAGACATTTTCACACGCACCATAAAGTAACTTGACAGTCACCAGTTCATCCTCATAACTCTGTCTTAACTTTGTTGTTGGTTTTTTTGGTGCATACTTTTAGATCTGTGTCCTTGACTTACCTATCTAACACCTGGTGTTGTTTTTGCCATTCCTTCTACAGCTACTGCCCTGTAAGCTTGAAAATACAGATTTAACAGCACAGCTCTATGTTTGGGTCCAACCTTCTCGCCTTTACTTCTCACCTTGACAGTTACCGTTTAATGATTTGTTAGTTTGAACATTATGTCTGCTAGTGGTTGTTTGAATATGTGGGATCAGCCTCAGCTAGGTGAGTCCTTTTCTGAGCCTTTTGAAGTCCCTGATTGACATCTTTGAGAACGGCTTAAAGAGCCCACTTGGTCCAAAAATTAAAGAGTCTTATTTCTTCAGAGAAGTTTTTCCCTTTAATGAAGGTTTGGCAAAGGGAAAAAAGCACCAGGGCTAATCCTCTGGGCCTGTAGTTCTCGTGCTGTTGGAATCAGAACCAGCTCAGTTTAAAATATCAGAGACATGTGATCTGACTTATGAGTGTGTGTGTGTGTGTTTTCATGTTTTTTAAATACCTGAGCTGAAGCTGTCTGCGGACGACTGAGAGATAGAGCGAGACAGGGAGCGGAGGGCAGTCTTGGTGGGACGTTTGTTGAATTCTTGCTTCTGGTCGGTGAACTGGATTTGCTTTGGGGTAAAAAAAAAAGACACAAACAAGAGTCAGAAAGAGAAAAGTCAAAATGTCTTTCAGTTGTTATTTACATCCAGACAGGTGTGCTCTCTGTCCCCAGAGTCAAAACCAAACATGAAGAAGCAGCGTTCAGTTTCTATGCTCCAAACTCCCAGAAAACTGCAGGTCTGCTGAAACTCTCAGCTCTTTTAAATCCAGGTTGAAGACTCACCTGTTTACAGCTGCCTTTCATTAAACAACTCTAATAAGATTTCAAACTTTAACTCTGCACTGTAACTTTGAACTCTTTTTACATTTTTACTTCAATTAATTTCATTTGAATAATTTTTTATTTGAACATATTTTCTGATTTAATCATTTCAGTGATTTTTAAATGTTCTATTTTAATGTTTCTTTTCTTTCCTCTGTCATGATGCTTTTGATGTCTTGTGTGACGCAATTTGAATTACCTTGTAGAAATGTGCTATATAAATAAACTTGCCTTGCCTTACATCACTGCAAATCACAATCACAATCATAAACTCTCAGACAAACTTGATAACAAAGTCACAAAAGTTCTACAAATCCCAGCAGATTTTCCCTGCTGTGATCACAAATCTCCAGCTCCTCTTCTCACTCATGCCTCGCTGCATAAAGTATGTCTCACCTTCCAGTGTGGCTGTTTGAAAGCTGAGCTGCGGCTGCAGGGATCCCACTTGGCCATGTCTGCTTGCTGTCGGCTCTCCTGACTCTGCAGCCTGAGCTTCAACTGCAGCGTCACAATAAACCCCAATATCCAAAGGCTTACTGAGGGGTTTACCCCCTCCTACTCAGATCTCTAGACTTTATAACAAAGTCGTTTTTTCTGCTTTTGTTCCTACGTTTTCACCCATGTGGACAAACAGACATCTAAAGACCCCTAACATAGACACACCTCCAAAACGGTCAACATGTGATCCACTTCTTTAAAGGAGCACTCCACCAGTTTTTAGATCAGTTCAGCACTGCCAAGTTAGTGAAAATAGTTGTTCTGTGACTCAAAAGAAATAACACTGATGATGTCATGGTGATGTCATCAGGGTTATCTTAGCTTGGGCAGGGGATCACTTTTTTTCACATCAATTATTACTGGGTTAATAAGGTTAGAAATATGTGGGTATTTGTCACTCGGAGAAGATATAACAGAGTTGCATTATGGGAAAATTTAAAAATCTAGTATATTTTGGGAGTTGGGAATTTTACAATATTTCATGGAATTGTTTGAGTGTTTTACCTTTACAGTAAATTACTGATGTCTCAGTTGAATTTCTTGCACATTATTAACAATTTAGCAGATTTACTAACACCACACTGCCTGTTTGGATAATATAGACTCCTGTAACGTAATGCTGTTAATCAAACAAAAGTCCTTTAACCCTTGTTAACCATGACATCATCCATTGGAGTCCCTCTGCACCTTTAAGAAAAAGCTAAAGACCCAGCTCTTTCATGAATACCTACTAACTTAATGATGATGGTCTCCATATTATTGATGATGATGATGGTAATGACGATGGTTTTTGGTTGATAACGACGACTTATAAGATGGTTTCTATACTGATTAGAGCTCTCAAGAACTGCCCTCAATGTTGTGCTTTGCCTCTGGTCACTTCCTGTCAGCACCTGTGTGTCCAATCAGACTCAAAGCTGATCGTTTGCTCTTACTGACATTGTTCCCTTTTTTCTAGATCCTTGCTTGTGTTGTTCTTACTCTCTGATGTACGTCGCTTTGGATAAAAGCATCTGCTGAGTGAATTGTAGAATTGTTAGGTTCAAATAATCCCGGGACGCTCATGAGTTTGTTTTTGTTTTCAGCTGAATTTGTTTTCATTCGACCCTGGAACTGTTTTTTTTTTGTTTTTTTTGTGCTATCCTCCTGATGTGATTCATAAAGGTGTACAACAATTGAGAAAAATCCAAACCCAAAGAGTCGAGTAAGAATGTCACTGACAACAAAGAAAAAGACGGCTCGCTCAATGCAGGGCTCCAATACACCAGAGAACTTAATAACCAGGGTAGTGACATGTTGAGTATGACCTTCATCAGATTCATCAAGGTCATCAAAGCTCCAGTTTGAATGACTGATATAACTTTTGAGTCAGATTCTATCAAGTTACACGTACAAAAAAGATCCACACTGCTGACCCGTCTGTTTAAATCTGGAAATAATAGATTCATGCATTAAGGTCAAATCTATGAACAACAAACAGTGCACCTGTTCAAAGACAGAGCAGCCTTACATGTCTCTGTTTTTGTTCTTAGAAATGATCACCTGCATAAAGACTTTTTAAATTCAGCTCGCACTCAGTCAAGCAGCTGCTTAATCTTTAACACAAAAAGACATTATCCTGCAACTCTGAGCAGTGTCAAAGTTAACTAAATAAACACAATCGTCTCTAAGAGGGGTCAGAAAATGGTTCTGAATAAAAGCCAGCAACTTTGAAAGTCTAATGAAAGACTTTGAAAGTTGTAAAATAAATCACCCTGTCAACAGTTTTTGCTTTGATTTGTGGCCTAAAAAGTCTAAATTCCAATGTTTTGTCTTCTCTGCCCTTAGAATCAATACAAATCTTTTTTTAAATAGACAGTAAAGACAGCTTTATACAAACCACTGTCCAAACAGAGGATCATTCTAAATCTCTCTAAAGAGATCAAAACAAAAGCAGTGATACCTTGATGCAGATGGACTGGACAGCCTCCTGGTCCTTGGCTTTAGTTATGTTCACCAGACTGTATACTTTCTTCATGCTGAGAGTGTGTGCACAGTAACTCTGCAGAGCTGCTCACTGCTGCTGTCTAACTCTTGAGTGACGCTTTATGCCACACACCTTCGCCCAGAAGACCCAGGTGAAAAAGGGGGAGGGGGGGAAGGGGGGTTGAAAATAAACAACGTCTTTGTTAGGCTGACAAGAAGGAAGTCTGGGAGAATACAGAAGAACAGGTCAGAGATGCAGAGAGAAAAAAGGGAGGGTTGTCAGGAAAGAGGCAAAGCATGTACAGTACAGTTTACTCTCGTGTCTAAAAGCAGAGAGATCGCAGTCTAGGCCTGTGAAGGCTGTTTCGTCATGAGCCGGCGATCCGGCTGAAGATTTCTGCCTTTTAATAAGGCAGTTTTTTTCTTACCACTGTAACTTTTGCTGCTTTGTTAAAGTGCTCATGATGGATTAAGCCAGGTCTTTGTAATATAACAATGAGTAAGGTCTTTTACCTGCTTTTTGTAAAGTGTCTCGAGATAACGCTTGTTATGAGTTGACGCTATACAAATAAGAATTGAGATTGATTGAGAGATGAGCATACAAAACATACATGAGGGACTGCCGATGTAAACTAGCTCTAAGCTACCTCTGGGACCAATCAGATTTCAAGGGGGCCGGGTCGGGGGTCATGCCACCCATTTGCCACCCACTGAGCTTGCCCTTGGTTAGAGAGACACGGTAAGCAGCTGCTAAATGATGGATAAACAGTCACATTCGCCCACATTACTTTGAAGTCAAAATTGTAAATTAGGTTAGTGGGCGGGCGTTTCATTCTGTCTTTGTTTCAGTTTCCCTCTGACATTATCAGAGGAAATGAACCAGGAGCCCTGTGTGGAAGAGAATAAAATAACAGGCTCTGGCACAACTTAAAGTCTTTATATGTGATTTTTCACACTTAAATATAATATAAATCAAGTTTATCCTCTGAAAATAACTCTGTGAGTCATGACTGTCTACAATGGGTGTAACACCCGAGTCCCACTGTCTGTGATGTTTTCAGAGTCCTATCTTCACTTTGTTTACATCGCCGGGACGGCCGACTGACTCCTCCCCTCGTGTATAAAAGTTGTTTAATTGAGGGACTAGAGAAAAGAAGAATAACATACTGTACTCACTGCTTAACTGTGTTTCTAGATCACGCTCATTTCAGGTAAATTTACATGCAGTGTGAAGATACCAGCATAATAAAGATCGCTAGCATTAGCATGCTAACACAACAATGCAGCGCGAGTTGTTTTGGTTTCATGCTGGTGCTCAAGGGCGACATCTGCTGGATCAAAAAATCACATATAAAGCCTTTAAAGAATAACTGGACACACAATTACAATATTTAATGATTTCTTTGATTGGTTTATAAATGTAAACGTGTAATACAGAAGCTGATCCTGTTTTCATTACTCACGTTTTGCATTGTCCTATATTCACTTAATGTACACTGAACATGCTTAATGTCCAATTATCTAATATGGTTTAAGTTAATGATTAATACACAACCATGTATATTGCATCACACTGCATAAGAGGTAGAATACTGTAACCCTGCTCAGACAGAAGTGGTTTGTTTAAATGAACTGATAGTTTATACGGTGGCCAATTAATTATTTTTTCTGTTACTAAGTGACACTACAAAGTCAAGTGTTGGGTAAATGATACACATTTAGTCATGACATTGGAAAGGTCTCTAGCTCGTGGAGTACTTTATTTAAAGCAATGGATCAAAAAGGCAGCTCCCTGCATCCAACCCTACTTTGTGGGTCCTCATGCCAACAAAAACAGAACGCTAAATGATGCAGCAAAAAAACAAACCACACATTCCACAAATTGTACTTCCTGTTCCTCTGCATTACCCACAACGCAATGATGAGAAGTTCGGGGTGTGTTGTGCTGTTAGCGGTTAATGGAGCCTCTGGCTGCTAGCCTCAAGCTACGATGAGGACGGGCATATTACTGAGATCAGCTGCGCACAGTCCTTTAAAAACTCTAGACCCCTGATTTATTTTTCATTTTCAAAATTGTAGTCTTGAACAGATCATGACTCAGGTGACATCACATGAGTTCATTTATTAGATGTCAAAAGAAGTGCTGTCAAAGACCCGTAATCTTTGGTGTGTCGTTAGTGACTTTTCTCTTTAAATCTTTTTTTTTTCTGTTTAAGTCAAACATTCATGAAGGCACATTGAAGCTAAACTCATTAACAGACTGAGTCTATGCAGACTCACACTTCTTATTCAGTTCACTTACAGAGGCACATATATTATGTAAAATATGTTGATCCAAAGGGAAATGACAAACTTATTCAAAGTCAGGGGGTTAAAAACTTACCATGTCTGTCTTCAGAGCCTCGGTCACCAGCTCTACTGACCCAAAATCAGACATCTCGGCCTCGTCTCTGTCCCGACCCTGACCTATCCTCCTGCTCTCCGCTGCCTTCAGCATCTGCAGCAGTTTTGAGCTGCATTTCACCGATTGATCTTTGCTACCATAGACTCCATCTTTCTCTCCATTCAGAGCCGACGCGTCCTCCATGTGTGACTCAGAAAACTCATCGGGTGGTGTCGGGTCTTTCCAGGAGGCTTGTGTTGGCTCTTTCTCCATGACTCCACTAAATGAAGAGTCTCTGCTCAGGTGATGTGATCACAGACCAAGGGTGAAGCCCACATCTCTCTGATACTTCCTGCTCTAAAGGGCCTGTTTACACAAAACAGCAGCAGGTTCATGTGTTAGTTCCTCTCAATATGAAGTAGATAATTAGTCCTGAATGCAGCGTGTGTGCAGGGTAAACACTGGTGGGAGCACTGAGAGAAATGTAGCCAAAATCACATCTCGGACAAGGGCATTGACTTAATGTGCCTAACTGAAACTTGGCACCAGCCAGGCGTCTTCTCTGCCCTGAATGAAATCTGTTCTCCTGGTTACAGCTACCTCGAGAAAGCCCACAGCTCTGGGCGTCGGGGTGCTGGTGTAGCTGTCTTTTTCCAAAATTCATTTGAACTGTCCCCCCTGCCCCTGCCTGAACTGTCCTCACTTGAATTCCATCATCTCAGAGATGCACGACCTTCTCTCTTCACTCTGCACAACCTCTGCCAACATTATAATACTTGGAGATATCAATATCCACGTCGACACCCCCTCCAGCCACCCTGCAGCTGAGTTCTTAGAACTACTGGACTGTCTCAACCTAACACATGTTGATGTCCCCAATCACACCAGGGGGCACACGCTTGATCTGGTGATCACTCACTCTGCACCCATTACAAACGTATTAGCATGCGATTTGGGTGTCTCTGACCACAAGGCTGTCTCAATGGAGCTGCCTTTCCAGTCTGCTCTCACCAAACCCAAGTGCCAGATTCACTTCAGAAATCTAAAAAACATCAACCCGGACTCACTAACACTAGACCTTCAACATCTCTCCTCTGCTAACTTCTCATCAACCAGTGAAGCAGTGGAATTTTACAACAAATCCCTAAACAGTCTCCTAGATCTCCACGCCCCTCTCAAAACCAGAACAGTCACGTTCCCACGCTCAGCCCCCTGGTACACCTCCGAGCTGCGAAATATGAGGGCGACTGGTCGTGTCCTTGAACAGCATCTCAAGGTCTCAGGACTCACTGTGCACAGGCTAGCATATCGGGAACACCAAAAAGCCTACTCAAAGTCCCTCAGAAATGCCCGGTCACAGTTCTACTCAAATATCATAAATAATGGCCCTGGCAACTCAAAGCAACTTTTCTACACCATAAACCATCTCCTAAATCCACCAACCCCTTTCCTCTCAGACACCACAGAGGAGCGGTGCAACAATTTCATTGACTTTTTAAGAACAAAAGTTGACACCATCCGCTCTCTCCTCTTCAGCTCTGAGAAGATCATCATAACAATGAAACCTTCCACTTGCACACTGGATCCCTTTCCCACAGCCCTGGTCAAATCAAACAACTCTGCCATAAGTCCCCTCATCACCAAAGTCTTAAATCACTCCCTACAGACTGGCCATGTTCCATCTGCCTTGACAACTGCTGTCATATCACCACTTCTCAAAAAACCTACCCTAAATCCATATGTCTTTGCCAACTACAGGCCCATCTCCAACCTTCCATTCATTTCCAAAGTGCTGGAAAAAGCAGTTGCAGCTCAACTTCACGACCATCTACAACACAACAAACTATTTGAGAAATTTCAGTCTGGTTTCCGCTCTGCCCACAGTACAGAAACAGCTCTGGTCAGGGTCACAAATGACGTGCTGATGGCAGCTGACGCTGGTTCTCTATCTCTCCTCGTTCTCCTCGACCTGACAGCAGCATTTGACACCATCGATCACGTCATCCTCCTCAACCGCCTTCACTCTGTCATCGGTCTTTCTGACTCAGACCTAGACTGGTTCTGTTCATACCTCACTGGAAGAACCGAACATATCTCCCTTGGAGACAAAAAATCCCAGACTCACCTTGTCACCTGCGGTGTCCCTCAAGGATCAGTCCTCGGCCCCACCCTGTTCAATATCTACATGCTACCCTTTGGCCGCGTCATCAGCCAACATGGAATTTCATTCCATTGTTATGCTGGTGAGACTCAAATATACCTAAAAACAAATCAAACCCCCTCTGCACCCCTGCCATCATCGACACTGACCACCTGCCTGGAGGAGATAGAGGCGTGGATAAGGAACAACTTTCTCAAATTAAACAGCTCCAAAACAGAAGCTATTCTACTTGGCACCCCACACCAGATCAGGTCATCCCCCATAACCACCATCACCTTTTCTGGCCAAGTCATCCACCTCTCTCCAACCGTCACAAATCTCGGCATCAAAATGGACCCTCAACTGAACTTTGAAGCCCACATTAAACATCTGTGCAAAAACTCATTCTACCACCTCAGAAACATTGCCAAACTCCATCCTACACCCTCCCTGTCAGATGCTGAGAAACTCGTCCACGCCTTTGTCTCCTCCAGGCTGGACTACTGCAACGCACTCCTCATCGGGATCCCTAGCAAGAGCCTCCAGAAGCGCCAACATGGTCCTGGTGAGAGTGCGTAAATATGAACACATCATACCCATCCTTCAGACATTACACTGGCTCCCTATTTCATTCAGGATTCAATACAAAGTCACCCTTCTCACCTACCAGTGCACCCATGGAAATGCCCCCCTCTATCTCAAAGAACTCCTCACCCCACAATCCTCCACACCAAGCCTCCGCTCCGGAAACACCAACCTCCTCCATCCCCCCCCCAGGACTAAACTCCACATTATGGGTTACCGGGCCTTCTGCTCCTCTGCTCCACAGTCTGTGGAACGCTCTCCCCGAGCAGCTGAGGGCTCCACAGTCTGCTGACACTTTTAAAAGGGCTCTAAAAACCCACCTTTTTAACAAAGCCTTCTGCCTGTGCTTTGTTTTTGTTTTTTGTGATTCGTTAGTTGCTTAGTTGATTAAATTTGTTTTTATTTCTATTTTTTTTTTTTTTTTTTCCTGTAGCACTTTGAGATTTTCTTGCAAAAATGTGAAGTGCCTTACAAATTAAATGTACTATTATTATTATTTGTAAGAATGTAACTCATTTCAAGTTCTATAAATGGACAGTGAATGTCAAAAAAAATTATATCATGAATGATTTTTCTCCTCAAAGGTCTCCAGCTGAAGAGACTTGAGACTTCAGGCATTCAGACTATAAGAGCCACTTCATGTTTTTTTTGTGTTGTCTTTGATAACACTGGCTGCATTCACAATGAGTACAAAGACAAGACGGTTACATAATAAACAAACAGGCATGGTTATGTCACGTGTTTACATTAAACCCCCCAACAGCATCAATAGAGGCGCTGTGTTGACCAACCTCCTCAGAGTCTACTGAAAGGTTGGAGGAAGTTAGGGGACCAGATTGTATAGGTTCTGTACCCTTGTTACATATAATCACACTGGCAAGTTGTTTTAAAGTACAAAAAGAAAAAAACAAAGATCTGTTGACATGATCAAATGTTGAAATGAGAGGCTTCAGTCTGGAAACTTGTAGAATTCTTCTTTAAGTTTAAAGGCTTTATATGCGATTTTTTGATCCAGCAGATGTCGCCCTTGAGCACCAGCATGAAACCAAAACAACTTGTGGTGCATTGCTGTGTTAGCATGCTAATGCTAGCGATCTTTATTATGCTGGTATCTTCACACTGCATGTAAATTTACCTGAAATGAGCGTGATCTAGAAACACAGTTAAGCAGTGAGTACAGTATGTTATTCTTCTTTTCTCTAGTCCCTCAATTAAACAACTTTTATACGTGAGGGGAGGAGTCAGCCGGCCGTCCTGGCGATGTAAACAAAGTGAAGATAGGACTCTGAAAACTCTGAAAACATCACAGACAGTGGGACTCGGGTGTTACACCCATTGTAGACAGTCATGACTCACAGAGTTATTTTCAGAGGATATACTTGATTTCTACATTTAAGTGTGAACAATTGCATGTAAAGCCTTGAAGTCATTTTATGACTTGAAATTGTTTTGAAATGTATTCTATGGATAACAGTTAAAGGATAGCATTTTGGAACATCAATATGTTTAAGAAATGTACTGTTTGTTGAAACTAATGCGACAATAGACTAAACTGGACAAGCCCTCCAAAATGATCCCTCCAAAGTATTCATTGGACACATGCTTTTGTTCCACTAGAGGGCGTATCAGTTGTAGAGCTCCACAAAGATGTTTTCCCACAGCTGAGGGCCCTGAAACAATCCATCCTTTCTTTTTTTCAGTGTGAAGACAGTGGGAAGATTTTAATTTGACTTCTTCCTTTGTGTCTGACAGTTAACAGAAAAGGTTGACCCAGTCAAAGTCTCCAAGTCTAGCCTCCAGGCCTTTCTATGTTGTTCATTTCTATTCAGAATTTCAGACTCCAGCATAAAATTGTAAACTGGACAGAACTTTAATGACATGTTAAATACTGATGTCATGGTGGGAGCCAAAATCAGCAGCTGGGCGTTTATTCTTTGCGCTTCACTTCAGTATGAGGCAACTGAAAACATATTGAAGAGAACTGTCCAAACCAGACGAGGGTGTTCTGTTATTGTCTACTTTATTTACAGGAAACATGTTTTTAATATATGAGCAAAGAGGGTCAGATCTGGATGAATATCACATTTGGGCTCATTTCAAAACATCTTGGATTACAGACATCCTTATCTTCACAGGACTGAATAAATCTAATCAGAGGGAGCATGCATAACTCTCTCTCTCTCTCTCTCTCTCACACACACCCACAACCCACATATACACACAAACACCCAGCCACACACACAATCATACAAACATCCATAATCAGAGTATAAAAACACATATCCACTATTTACTCAATTCGGAGTGAAGATTTTTCTTCTTTTCTTTTTTACAGATTTTTCTATTTTCACAGCTCAGTGTCGGTCAAATCACTCCATATGTCAATAACACCATGTATTTTTGTTTATGTTATATCTTCTTATACTAGTTAAAATCACTGGTTGGGTCACAACATCACATTTAGCACTACAATGTGGGGGTAAAAAATAGTTTGCATATTAAACAACGTATTGCACAAGTTCATGTAGTAGGAGTGAAGAGGAAAAAAAAACTTTCAAAATAAAACTCCAACTGACAGAGGTTAAAAAAAGAAGAAAGTCCTATAAGATGGCATTGTCTGATGAAATCTGATACAATGCAATATATTTCTCAAATCTCCAAGATGTATAATGTAATTATCAATGTGAAACACACTTTTACTTTGAAGTGAGAGTCATTTTTACTTAAAGAAACGCACAATGAGAGCACCCCTATTCTATATTATTTTTCACTCCAAATAAACCTGTTGTTTCCGTTTACAAGATGTATCACATTATGTCACTCCCATCACAAACACATTGTTTACACCCTCATCGTGCTGTACGTATGTTCTTGTAATGGCACAGGAGCAGGTGCTTGAACGTGTTCTTGAAGGTGGTGTTGCAAAGGGCGTAGCAGGCCGGGTTGATGGTGCTGTTGATGTAGCAGAGCCAGTAGCCGATGGTCCAGAGGGTGTTTGGGATGCAGACTGAACAGAAGGTGTTGATCAGAACCATCACGTTGTACGGTGTCCATGTGACAACAAAAGCAACCAGGATGGCCATGATGGTGCGCGTCACCTTCTTCTCCCTGGAGGATATGCCTTTCTTTTTCCACCTTGCCACGGCGTTTTGCTTTGTTACCTGGAAAGTAAAAAGTGAAATTACAATATGAGACATTAGCCTCGTTTCCATTGAGCGTTCTGCTTCAGTACGGTTCATTTATTTGTCATCTTTGGTTCCTCTCGGTCTCAGCTCATGTTGGGTTCTTGTGTTGCCTGGGTTCTTATGATGGTTCTTATGATGGTTCTTATGATGGTCGGGTTCTATATGTCTGTTGGGTATCGTGCACTTTGGGTTCTTTTCTGTAGAATTGTATTTAATTATTTTTAGTATTTTGCATTTGTTATGTTCTTGCTGTTATTTATGTTCTTCTGTGTTTGGTTTAGTTTGCTTTGTTCTTGTTTTCGTAAACCTGTGTTTTTAAAAGGTGCTATATAAATAAATTTATTATTATTATTATTATTTATTTGCGTTTCCCCTGTCAAAGGTCGTAAATGGTACCAAAATAATTGATCTGTACATCCCAGTTTTCTCTATCCTTATGTTGAGGTGCAAAGCATAATGATCAAAACCCAAAAGGACGGAGTTAGACAGACTGCATGCAGTTCATTGATTGGTCAAAAGAATAGTCACTTCCCTCGCAACAGTGGTAATAAAGGACCAACACAAACACATGGATTTGGAGTGATTTCAAGGCTTTTTTTTGTTTTTTACAAATAATGTCAGCACGTAGCCCTGCCTCATGGACGATCTTGGAGGTGCAGACTTTCCTGGACGTCCATTGTTAACCTTTGTTAACTGTATCACGTTCTTCTCCTACAAATCTACAATTCACTTAGCAGACACTTTTATCCAAAGTGACGTACATCAGAGAGTAAGAACAACACGAGCAAGGATCTAGAAAAAAGGGAACAATGTCAGTAAGAGCAAACGATCAGCTTTGAGTCTGATTGGACACACAGGTGCTGACAGGAAGTGACCAGAGGCAAAGCACAACATTGAGGGCAGTTCTTGAGAGCTCTAATCAGTATAGAAACCATCTTATAAGTCGTCGTTATCAAACAAAAACCATCGTCATTACCATCATCATCATCAATAATATGGAGACCATCATCATTAAGTTAGTAGGTATTCATGAAAGAGCTGGGTCTTTAGCTTTTTCTTAAAGGTGCAGAAGGACTCCTTTAGCCCCGTTTCCACCTAGCAGTCCACAGTGGTACAATTCAGTATGGTAAACCCTGAACTTGCTTACGTTTCCACAGCCAGCCTGGCACCCCACGTTTGCATATGCTAAGGTTTAGCGGGTTTTATGTCAACATTTTTCATGCTAGTTAGGCATGTTAGCATGCTTACATTTGCTATAAGGCACTACACTTAAATATTAAAGAAAATGTAGAAATAAGTAAATGTTAAGTAAAAAATTCAGGCTTTTTGGTGATGCTCTAGAAAAAGTCAAGGGTTATTGTATGCACAAAACGTTACAGCGATACAACAGTTTGTAGAGATATTTCAGTCTGGACGAATTTGGTGGACCATAGGTAACAGGTTGCAATTGCGACACAGCTGACATGGCTTGATATCTCTTAATCTGATCAATTTGGGGATTGTTAGTGTATGTTTTTATCAGCATTTACCTTTAACAGTGTCCTTGCAACCGCACGTTGTCTGTCAGCGGCGGAGTTCAGCGGGGAAGGGGGCAGTGACTGATTCAAGTTTTTCCTTCCAATTATTGACGCAGGTTCAGCAGTGTCCTTCGATGTTGACCCATTTGTGCTGTCTGTGGTGGAGTCCACTTCCTCAGGTCTGCCTTCCTTGCAGGGCCCGCTTCCATTCTGCTGCTGCTGCTGCAACATCTCCTCCTCCTTTCCACCTTCTGCCTCCTCCTGAGCCTCTTTGGTTGGGATGCAGTTGTTCTGGCTCTCACATCCGTCCTCCTGGCTGGGCTCAGGGCCTTCTCCTAGACTGGTACCCGATGTCTTCCTGCTGTCCCTCCTCATGCGGCTGCGGCTGGCCTTGGAGATGCGCCAGTAGAGGTAGATCATGATGGCTACCGGTAGATAAAAAGCCGCTATGGCCGTCCCAAATGTCACTGCCGGGTTGGAGAAGAACTGAATGAAGCACTCACCTGGCGGCACGGTTCTCATGCCCACTATGAACTGCCAGAACAAAATGGCTGGAGCCCACAGGATAAATGACAAGACCCAGGCGGCAGCAATCATCAAGCCCGCCATCTTGGTGCTGCGTCGTGCCGGGTAGCTGAGCGGCTTGGTGACGCAGAAGTAACGGTCAAAGCTAATGATGAGAAGGTTCATGACCGAGGCGTTGCTGACGACATAATCAACGGCCAACCACAGGTCACACACCACCGCTCCAAGGGGCCAGTAGCCAATCACGATGTAGACGGTGTAGAGGTTCATGGAGCAGACACCGATAATGAGGTCTGCACATGCCAGGCTGAACAGGAAGTAGTTGTTGACGGTCTGCAGGTTCCTGTTTACCTTTAGAGAAAACAACATGGAGCAGGCTGTCAGATGCTAATCTTTTTTTGTGCCATGAGATGTGTGTTTTCTCATTTTAATTAGATCACCACTCTGCACAGGGTTGCACATAATGCATCCGTGTAGCTAAAACCTTGTTGTGCTTTTCCAAGGTGTGCATGTTTGAAATAATCAATCAATAACATCTGAGATTCAAACCTTTATGGAGAGCATGACCAGGATGTTTCCAATGACGGTGATGAGACTCAGAGATCCTGCCACCAGAATGATGAGGACGATCTCCACAGTCGTGTATGTACTTTCAGAGAAGATGGTGGTGTTACCATCGCTGCTGCTGCTGTTGTTGTTGGGAGTGTGAGATGAATTCATGCTGTCTCTTTTTTTTGGATATGCTTCTCACAGATGCTTCACACTCCAATCATATCTGCACATCACCTGTTTAACGCAAAGGTTAGGAAATATTAAAACTCTTCTTGCCTTTATTTGACGTCAACTCTTTCCTCTGTGTGTGTGCATGTATCTCTCTGCACCGTTTACAGATTAAATAAATAATGTGACACTGTCATTGTGCCAACATTTGGCAGATGTTGGGAGTGTTTTTGAGCTGCTGGCTTGGCGAACAGATGAACCAATGGACAGGTGAGCAAATAAGGGATGCTGCGACTGTGTTTAAAAACACACAGTGGTTGGCCACGCTCTCATATCAGGAACAACACATTGAAACAAGTTAAAGTGGAGTCTGAAGGGCTTAAAATCTGCACACTGTGTACTGCTTTGTATTTGCAAATAATGTGTTGTAGTGTATTTAATTGAAAGATGGTTTTAGGTGCTGATCATATAGAGAGTGACTCCAAACCTTTTGTTAGCTCTTGCTTTGCTTTTAATATTTTGAACAGTTGTATATTGGAGTCACATTATGAAACACACATCTTTATTTACTTAATGATTTTTTGTCTTTTTCTAGATACAAATTGAGACTCAGAAATGCATTGATGTCAGAAATATTTGTAGTGAATTGTCCTGATGTCCTGTTTTGCTCTATTTTTATGTTTTCAATGTTTGTATGTCATTTTCATTTGGGTAAATTTTATTTGTGACAGTAAATATTCTTACTTTGTTATTTTTTTTACTGTATTTTATTTTAACTTTGTTTAATCTCTTAAGGTGAGGTTTTGAGATAAGCCCTCGCCTGCACATGTGTTTTATTTTTTATCTATTTTCTGTTTGACTCTTCTTTCAAAAAATGTGCAAATAAACTAAACTAATATTAATACTTTGTTTTTTTTCTCTTCTTCTTCTTCTTCTTCCTAAATGACCCAGAATCCTGGACTATGCTCACATTTGACCTGACAGGTTGAACTAAGCTATACTTCATCTCTTGAAAGTTCATTTTCATTTTCCATTTGGCCCTGAATATCTTATCTGTACACGAGGACCAATTCAAAAAGGGTAATCTGTTATTTGATCCTCGAAGCATAAAGGATTTGTCTCCATAACATCTCTGCTCCTTGACGTGAAATAGGTACAGCCTGGTCTGAAAATTTGATTCAGTATTGAGATGCTACGATGGCTTGTGAATTATGTCTGTTTGTCACATGTTTTATGATTAAAATGGATGTTCAGATAAACATTTATTGGCACCCTGGTTTTACCAGTGGGCAAAGGTTGTTCATCTGCGACCAATTTGAACCTTCTTTATACGTCAAAAAGGTGACATTTTGCTTTTGCTCTTCCTATCCAGCCTGTTTCAGTGACAAAATTCTACCTATTATTCAATTCCAGATTATCAAGGCACTTTGGATTAAAGCATCCTCTGAACAACACATGATGGAGCATAATGGAGATTTTGTTTTGCATTGACAATGGGTTAAGCTTTTTAAAATGGCCAACAAAAAGGCATCAAAAACCACAATTTAGCCTGTGGCAAAGCATCACTACAGTTACTTATGTTAAAGTAATGTAACACCAGGAATAGAGCTACATTAAACACAAACATAACAATGTGATTAAGTGATGTATTGTGATCAGAAAATCAATGTAAAGACACTTAGTTGGGACCATGAGGCTTGTTGCACACTGCTTGAATCCTGTAAGTGACTCCATTAAGGCCACATGATAACATCAAACTGTACCTGAAAGATGTTTCCTTCCTGCTCTTACAGTTGGATCAAACTTCATTACAGCATCTCTAGCTCTATCACTCACTCATCAGAGACCCATTCTGGGCGTTTTCTGTTGCAGAGGAGAGAGAGAGCTGGCATCTCTCTCTCTCTCTCTAAATGACAATTTAGTTAAGCTATAACTCTAAGTCCTTGTCTTGATAGACTGTGATTTCTGGGTTTTAGATCAAATGACATTTTATTTACCAGATTTGTTGTAAAAAAAAAAAAGGTTTGTGCTATTGTAAGAATCAGATGTTAAAAGCTTTATATGTGATTTTTTTGATCCAGCAGATGTCGCCCTTGAGCACCAGCATGAAACCAAAACAACTCTCGCTGCATTGTTGTGTTAGCATGCTAATGCTAGCGATCTTTATTATGCTGGTATCTTCACACTGCATGTAAATTTACCTGAAATGAGCGTGATCTAGAAACACAGTTAAGCAGTGAGTACAGTATGTTATTCTTCTTTTCTCTAGTCCCTCAATTAAACAACTTTTATACACGAGGGGAGGAGTCAACCGGCCGTCCGGGCGATGTAAACAAAGTGAAGATAGGACTCTGAAAACATCACAGACAGTGGGACTCAGGTGTTACACCCATTGTAGACAGTCATGACTCACAGAGTTATTTTCAGAGGATATACTTGATTTATATTATATTTAAGAGTGAAAAATCACATATAAAGACTTTAAGTAAATGCTCTCTGATCAAAGCTTTTAACACTCAACTCCTTTAAATAATGTGCTATCCATGTATGTGCTAAAAAAATATATGCAGGACTGTGATCTCCCACAGACAGCAAAATGTATGGATTAAGCCCCACTGACACCAGATATGACTCACCCTGGATACCTGGTTGGCATTGAGCAGGTAAATACACACATCATATTCAGCTCTGACATTACAAATGGAAAACAGGTTTGAAACCATTGACACATCTCAATCAGACAGAAGTGGAGATGACTGCTTATATGTTTGGATATGGGATAAGCCAGTTGACAGAAAAAAGGTAAAACATCTCTCATCCTATGAAAATAAAATATATGGCTCATGCGCTCAGATTAAAACTGCCTCTATATATGTTCTGCAGAGGAATCAACAGATTCTGCACACACTCTTATTACTGACAGTCAGACTCAACAAAACCAAGGGTCTCAAGGGGATCTATACCTTTATTGATCCCTTCAGCTTGCTCTTCCAGTGCAGCTCTCCTCTCTCCTAATGGGCACAAACTTATCAGCCAGCGTCTGCCTTCGTCAAAAACAGACTTTACATGTGTAAATAATTCTTTGAATACACTTGATTAGGCTGTATCAGCATCAAGTCTTTGGAGGGCAAACTAATTTTTAAATCAGTGACTTAAATATCAAGCACAATCTCTTTAAGTCGTTACCCTTGACCAATATAAAAGAGCTTGCAAGTTATATTTTGAATTTTGCTAAAAGATGGAGTAGAAGTGACCTTTTTTATAGATTATAAAGATTATATTCTCCAGTGCAGAAGTCTTCAGATAAACTCATCAAGTTCAACAAGTTTCCAAAACATATATGGGAAACCTAAAATGTAATAATTTCACTTTCATATTTACACTTCCATGAATATCAGTACTTAAAACTGTCTTTTCTTGGATTATTATAAACTATTTAGCGTAAGAAAAAGAGACATACTCTTGACTTTATCATCTCCAAGGGTCATTCCATTTCTCTGTTTGTGACTGGTTTAAGCATTTCTGATCATCCTTATTATTCATTTAGGATAAGCTTTTCAATCACCAGTGAACTGAAGTGTATAATGGCTTTCTCTTCCACATCCTTTACTCACTCTGATGTCAGTCGGTGATATTTTAGATCATTTCAGTTCTAAAGATACAAACGTTATTATCGTCATTGCACACACAAAATTAAAATCTCCAGTATTGTGATACTGATATTGTGGTGCTGATAAGTCCATTTTTTCTTATCTGACATAATTTGTTAAAATAACAACAATACATGTTGCTTTTTTTGCTTCGTTTGAAAAGTTGACAAACCCCTCTGTCAGTTAACATTTGAGGATTTTACATAGCGCAATTTGATCACTTGAGCCCGGTGGAAAAGGTGTTACATCTGAACTCTCCCTCTTGCCTTGATATTTTCCTTACAAAATGTGTTTAAATTTACAAAATAAATAAGATCTTCTGCAAAATGTAACCAATTGGGATAGCCTGACAGCTATTTCAGCATTTCAGTGTAATTTTATCTTTGGCAAAAATGCCTAAATGAAAGCTTTAAAAAAAAGTATACAATTATTTCTCTAATGCTACGTAAACAGGCCCTGAAACTTAGAATAGACAACTATTGGATAGTAAGGCCTGTGCGCTAAGTATATGTATTAAAAATGCAGTTTTCAGCAGCCTTACAGCTTTGGTCCCCTCACTGCTGTTTTGCTGTTTTCCAGTCAGAATTTGGAACCCAGAGACTGTTCTTATTAAGTCTTGATTGACATCCATTTAAACGCAGACAGTGGAAAAGTTCCAGTCTTGGTTTTTATTAGATCTTAGTCCTGCATTCAGTAAACCATAACATATTACTGGACGGACTGGAAAATGGGGTGGGACTTTCTGGCACAGTACTAAACTGATTTAAAATCATCTTTGAAGGACAGAGATCACTTTGTGTTGACAGTAACTGCACAACTAAGTGTTTAAAAATGACATTTTTAGTCCCCCTAGGCTCTATTCTCGAGCCTTTTAAGTTTAATATCTACATGATCACACAAGCTCAGATTACAGAAAACAACATTATCATTAAGCACATGACTCAGAGATTCATGCAACATGTTACTTTTTGCAGGTAGATCTAGAGCAGAGTTAGATGTGCCGCCATTATGTACAGTTAGTGAAATGTTGCCATATTTTATCTTGATAATGTTTTTATATCAAATAAAAGTTGATTGCAACTGTATGCAATTAAAACTTTGTCATTGCTAAGGAGTTTAACATATATGGTTCACTGTTGAAATACATTAGAAAAAGAAAGCCTTGTGTTTCAGAAAGTTATGAGTCTGCAATGTTCTCTAAAAGCAGAGCTGAGATGACTGAGTTCAACTGAAATCATGTGGGGGGGGGGGGGGGGGGGGGGTTGTTTTAATAATTATTTGTATTTTAATTTGTTTGGTGTGAGCCTTTAACTACAGGCTGAATTTTAGTACTATTTTTGCATCATCATCCTTACAGACCCTCACACAACTAATTAACATCACTTTTTTTATCCGACAGGTATGTTTCTCAAATTCATTCTTATGGTCAAATAATACAACATAATATAATAACGTGAGAATTTTTTATCCCAGTGTTTTAGCTTCCCTTAATTCTCCCTTTTACAGCAGATTGGTGCTGACACTTCTGTGACAAATTTGCCAACACACAGAATAAAGTTATGTTCAGAGTGCATGGAGAAATTAAAACTCTGAAATCTGAAAAAAAGAAAATGTTTGCAGACCTGTTAGGAACATGGTAAAGTAGTACACTTGAGCCTCTTGTGTCCAAAATTACAATTACAACAACAGAGACAAATATCACTGAGACATGCCAAAAACTTTTCATACATGTTTTTGGACATGAAGGTAAAAAATAAACCCAGAATAATCCTAACTTTTGTTTTTTTTTCTTCTTGTATTGCCTTCATTTCCTACGTAAATTCTCTTTTGCACTTTGAACTTCCTTGCTACTTAAAGATGCTGCATAAATACATTTCATTTGTCTAACACATTTGCACCCAATATTATACTAACAAGCTGTAGACTAAGCTTGCATGAGGATGATTCCCATGTGATGTGGAATTGGTTGGTGCAGAGATGGTGACTGCTCCCCACATTCTCAGTAATAAGACCAACATTACTGGAGCTCCCTAATTGATATGCAGGGCTACTGGAGAGAGTCACAGAGGCAAACGGTATTTCTTTGACAGGCACAGAAACAGAGTAATTAGATCCAGCAGACACTGCCTGCAAACAGCTGTACCGGTAATCTGCTCCTAGGATATAGTACAGTAGTACTCATCAGGCAGGGGTGAGCTGAGCTTTAAAAAAGTCTGGCTTGAATTTCATGAACAAACCAACAGTCGGCTGCAGAGTTACTGGCAGATGAAATGAGGGGCTTGTTTGCAGAGATAGAAGCAGGTGTGCTAACAGAGGGTAAATAGTTCCATAAAAAAAGACGGCTTTAACAACTGCAGGGATCAAAGTGTTTTACAGATACAGACTGAGTTCAACCAGTAACTGCAACATATGTAAATGCACAACATGTATGCACACAAGATAAAAAAAACGACAGAAAGGTGCAGTGTGGCACACTGAGATTTTTAAAGTCTGAATTTAAGTTAATTGTTTTAAGGTTGAAAAGGATGTGTTATCTGCAACAATTTTTACTGAATTTGTTTTTCAATTAATTATTTTAGAGCAAATTCCTCTGATTGGCTTTTGGACTAGTTGTTGTCGGTAGGTTTGTTACACAAGTTGGTTTGGATTTCAGAGGAGTGTGTCTTGAATCTGAAGAGTGGGAAATTTCACATCGGCCTGAGCTTTGGCCTCACACAGCAGTGCAACAGAGAGAAAACCAAATGAATGTCCAATGTAGCTTCGCAGTGGAGCCAGAGTACAAAAAAAAGGGGGAAAGAGAAAAGGGACAAACATGCATAACATTTAACTTTGAAACAAGGATGAAATTAAACCCAGAGATATTCATTTCTTTAAACTAATGGTGAAGAAAGGGACACTGGAGTAGAAGGGTTAATGAGCTTTTTTTTTTTTTTTTTTTTAAATACAACTTGATTTCATCTTGTCGGCCTTCAGTTTCAAGGGAGGAGCCATCTGTTTGAAATCTAATTTCCTTCTCAAATACAAACCCAGAGTATTCAGGGGGATTCCTCGGGAGCAGGGAGACTGGGGAATCCACAGACAGAGTCTCATCCTGGTGTCTGATTAAAACCTCTCAACTCAGGATGCACGGGCATAAAGATAAAACATTACAGGAACACTCTCAGGGGAATCATTAAAACCCAGAACTTTGGACAATTAATAGAAACTTCCTCAGGAAGTCGTGTAAAGGGTTGAATTTTAATCAATATACTGTCTAAAGTGTTGCATCAAATTTCTGGAATATTTCTTGTTGTGTGTATGTCAATTCATTTAGCGTCACATTTCCATCAATATTTCAATGTTCCTGTGATAATTTTTTTATTGAAGAATGATGTAATTTTTGACTCTAAAGAATTGTAAAATCAAGTTTTTTTTCCTCCTTCACATTCGAGAAAACTCTTCACCTTGAGAAAAAGAAGTCTCACCTGAATAAAGGGGAAAAGATATTCTTCTTTCACAGGTGCAAAAAATGTAATCGACCAAATCATAACCTCCCCTGACAGATTTTAGAACCGCTTTCAAGCAGCTTTTCAGTTCTTATATCTTCAAATATTCTCTTACCTTGTCTGCTGGGAATGATGTTTCGTCCATGTTACTCTCACCTCTGTCGACACACTGAGCAGAGAGAGGAGCAGAGAGTAACCCTACGTGGATGTCGCTCCTCCTCTGACAAGAATCTGTGTGTGTGTGTGTGTGTGTGTGTGTGTGTGTGTGTGTGTGTGTGTGTGTGTGTGTGTGTGTGTGTGTGTGTGTGTGTGAGACAGTAAAAGAGGGAGGGAGGGGTTATAGGGGCTTATTGGTGGCTGTTGTGTTGCATCCGTTGCATCCCTTAAGCTAGGGTCGCTCATTTTAAACAAAGAAGAGATGGACAGAAACGCAGAGATGTTTGTTTCAGGACCTTGGAAAGCTCTGGCCTCTCCAACACAAACCCATTATTTCTCTCCTATGGGCAATATATGTAGAGAAAAGTTTCATTGGCTATGGCATGAAATAAAGTGGTAATAAAAGAGAGACCAAAAGGAAGGGGCTGCAGGACTTTAACCTTTACAACTCTCTTATTTTGACCTTTTAAATGAACCGGTGAGGCAGTTTGCCAGGCTTGTGGATGACCTTACTTTGATGGGATTAACACAGAGAATAATGGACCCTCTGCTTCCGACAGTATTTCAGATTAAAAGAGAAGTGTGCCATCAAACAGGCTATGAGCCGGACATGCAAACCAGATTTGATATAACAAAATATGATGTGATTTATAGAGCTGGTCCTGATCCAGACTTATGGCACACACTGATCACATCAAACACTGGCCTGTCTGAGACTTCTGCACATCTTGTATTCTGTGTAGTCATTGAGATTTATTATCAAAGAAAAAACGCTATTATTGCGTCCATGGTAATAAGATTCATTGCTTCTTTTTTGGCCATTTCTCATAAACACAAATCAATATGAGGCTTTAACTTTGTGTGTCTGCTGTGTGTGTGTGTGTGTGTGTGTGTGTGTGTGTGCTGGTTTCCTGTCTCCTAGAATCATCTTTCTCCAATTTCCAAGACATTCTGATATGGTTTATTGACTGAAGCAAATACAATTATTTAAAATAACAAGATTGTGTTTGAACCACTTATCCTGATGATCTATGATTTAAGAAACCTTACAGCAAAGGTGGAATAACATCCAAGGATTGAAGTCACAAATAAATGAGAAAGTAGGCTAATTAATGGAGGTGCTTGACATCATAGGCCTGTTCTCTTTTTTTTTTGACAGGAGTCAAAACCAATTGGATTTTTTTTGAGGGCACATAGTAAATATAGGAGCCTACCAATCTTCAAAGTCAAGTTGTTTTTTAGCTGCCTTTTCAGATGTGTTCAGGTTCCCTCCAGTTCAGACAGTGGAACAGATTAAAAACTGTATATCTTTTAGAGCTCAGATTCAAAAAGATGACTGTAATACAATGTGTTCCAGATTCCAAGCAATAATCTAAATGTGAAGTTTCTGAAAATGTTTGATCATTTCTGATTGATCAGCATCCAAAAAGACAGTTAAAGGCTTTATATGTGATTTTTTTTTTGATCCAGTAGATGTCGCCCTTGAGCACCAGCATGAAACCAAAACAACTCGCGGTGCATTGTTGTGTTAGCATGCTAATGCTAGTGATCTTTATTATGCTGGTATCTTCACACTGCATGTAAATTTACCTGAAATGAGCGTGATCTAGAAACACAGTTAAGCAGTGAGTACAGTATGTTATTCTTCTTTTCTCTAGTCCCTCAATTAAACAACTTTTATACACGAGGGGAGGAGTCAGCCGGCCGTCCAGGCGATGTAAACAAAGTGAAGATAGGACTCTGAAAACTCTGAAAACATCACAGACAGTGGGACTCGGGTGTTACACCCATTGTAGACAGTCATGACTCACAGAGTTATTTTCAGAGGAGATACTTGATTTATATTACATTTAAGTGTGAAAAATCACATAGAAAGCCTTTAAGTTTTATAAAATACATAAACTTACATTGGACATCAGCCACTTTCTAGCTAACATTTCCGCTTGATAGAGTCACATTGAGTCATTCAGAGATGTGTTCATGTTTCAGTTAGCGAAGGTTTGAGTCGTTTTGAAGCTTGACAACAAAATGCATAATAAACATAAGTTATTTCTAATACTCACTAACTGCTGGAGATTGCTTCACATAAGCCATGGCTCCCCCTGCTCGTCCTCTAAATAGCTCCTGAAATGTGAAAGAGGTGGTTTAAACGTCCTCGTCTTTTGTCTTACTCTGTTGGTATGGACGTGTTTTTTCAGTTGAGTAACACACAAGCTGACCTACGTTTGACAACACATTCGAGGGCTGAAATAAAAAGTGTCAAGAGTTGAAAGAAGGACAGTCAGAACATTAAAGCGTGAACGGCTGCAAGGCATAGTATGTGTATTACTGCACAGCACCGTGAGTGATAAAGGCCATCACTCCACACACATGCAGACGATACCCTTTCACAATTAAGTTCCACTCTCTAGTCAGTTCTTTTTGTCTTTTTTTAATCATATGTTTTTCTTTAATCAGTTTCTTGTCTATGTTAGCTAAAAGCTGCCGTAAGTCCTAAAAGTTAAATAAATATCTCTTAATGTCCTGACAGAAAGAAGAGCCTCAGTCAAAGGATGTCATCCAGCACTCTATGTGTTCAAAAAATAAAAAAACAGCACAATGAGGCTCTCTCCTCTTCACTATGAATTGAAGGCCCAAGGCTTCAGGAAAAAGAGGTCATTCTGTCAGAGGCCGAGTAGATGTTTGAATGGAAGAGGAGCCACACACACAATAGCAGCCTCTATGTAACATTTGTGCATTTTCTGGACTTTTCTGATGCGTTCAGCCTTCAACGAAGAGTTAGAATCTAGAAAATATGTAGAAAATGAAAGAAGGGTTCATAGTCTTACTGAACTTTTTTGTCTTTGCCCACATGAAATATGTGCCTCATCATGTGCTAACAGGCTGATGACATTTACTGTTAATCTTCTCTGGGCCTGGAGCAAATCGTGACTTTTTCTAATCTCTCTTCTGATGATTCATCAAAGACGGACTGTAATTCATCTTTGTGTTCAGGATCAGATCTCTGGTCAACAACTACTGGCCCTGGTAGATAAATAGCCTCTAATCAGTGTGTCTCATGCATTACTATTTAATTACTATTTAATTAATTTTTACTGAACTATAGAGGACCTATGACCTTTGAAACATGACCTTTGAAAACATCTTACAACCAGAATAACGGCGTTATAAATAACGGCGTTACTTTTTTCAGTAACGAGTAATCTAATTGATTACTGTTCCCATCATTATAACGCTGTTACCGTTACTGCCAAAAAATGCGGTGTGTTACTATGACTGAAGCTGTTTTTCATCAGACCAACTAGCTCTCTAAGCCGAGCGGCAAAGATATTTCTTACTGTTCTTCCTCTTTGGTGAATGCGGACACGAGACAACCGCATAAATGATGACGATTGGCTGAGGTAGAGTAAAAATTTCATGGTGAGCCAATCAGAGGTAGAGTTGGGCGGGTGTTGTTTACACAAATTCGAAAGCATGCATAGTCAGACACACAACAACACAAGTGAGTCAACGAGAAACAGGAATGGCGAGCCCAAATAATCCAACAGTAGCCTTCTTTAAGTGGAAGTATAGCCATTACTTTTCCTTCCAAGAAATTAAAGGAACGAGTGTAATCGTGAAATGCACATTATGCCCTGCAGTCAAAAGCCTCTCCACGTCGGTGTCGAGCAATTCAAACTTATTGAAACATCTTTCAACGCTACATGCTTCCATGAAATTAGTGGCCAAGAAGACCCCCGAAGGAGAAGGAGACAGTGCCACAAAACCTAAGCAATCGAAGCTTGATTTTACGGCCCCACCACCACCACACATTTTGTCTCAGGCCGAGCTAAACAAACTAGTAGCCAGGTATGTTGTGGAGGATATGCTGCCATTATCGATGGTTGAGTCGGAGTCATTCAGAGCACTAGTTGCCAAAATACCGGTCAGAGCAAGGGTCGGCCTGCCATGTAGAAAGACGTTCGCGAACGATATAGACGCCCAACATGCTCAAATGAATGTCGAGCTCAAACAGACATTTGAGAAATTAGAATATTTGTCTACCACAGCAGACAAAACATCTATTATGTCATTTTTACGGATCCACTATATAAACATAGTAATTATAATATCTACAATAATACATGACATTTGATTGGAGGCTAGTCTCACTTTGTCCCACAGCAACATTAAAATAGTTTAGATTTGTGTACACTGTTTCTGTTAATTATTGATTGTATTAAGTGTCCATTTCATTATAATATTCAGATTTATCATAAATAATTGAACATGCATTTCTGCAAGTTCTGTTAAAGAGGGGTGGAGGTGGGGTCCAAATTCTTTGATACATTTAAAAATTTACTTGAAAGTAACGCAATAGTTACTTTCCAAAGTAACTAGTTACTTTTATAATTTGTTACTCACTAACTACTTTAATTACTTTTTGGGAGAAGTAACTGGTAACTGTAACTAATTACTTTTTTAAAGTAACTTGCCCAACACTGCTTACAACACATATCACTGTTCTGACTCTCTTCTGATAATTAAGATGAAGAAAAAATACCTCACCTGCAAAAATATATATCCTTATCATTGCTTCTCCAAAATATTGTATTGTATATATACTATATATATATATATATATATATATATATATATATGACGTCATTTTGCAAAATCAGCATATTCAGCAGGGTGTCTTCTGGATGACAACAATGAAACTGATGGATTTGGAGAATTGAAATCAGTAATTCAAAGTTTCATTCAATATATTTAGACTTCATTCAATATATTCAAAGTTTCATTCCATATATTCAAAGTTTCATTCACTATACAGTGGCTTGCAAAAGTATTCATACCCCTTGTACTTTTCCACATTTTGTCAGGTTACAACCACAAACATACATTTATTTCATTGGGATTTTATGTCATAGAGCAACACAAAGTGGTGCATTATTGTGAAGTGGAAGGAAAATGAGTGGTGTGCAAAAGTATTCAGCCTCCCTATACTCTGATACCCCTAAATAAAATCCATTGCAACCAATTGCCTTCAGAAATC